TTACCCCGGCAGAGGTGTAGAATCAGCATTACAGATCTCAACTAGGAACATGACCAATTGTATTTGTTTCAGCGAGGGGAATGAATGAGAACAAAAGATTGCCTCACAGAGGCATGACAGAGGTAGTCACGTGATTGCAGTAAATGACGTCGCCTAATCTCTCTGATAGTGGTGATAGTCAACGAAGCTCATATCGCCTTTTCACCACGAATCCTGTGTCGTTTCGTTTGGAATGAGTATGTCTTGCAACAACACACGCCTCGAGTGAGGACCTGTCATCATATACCTTTACTATCGAGTAGCGATGTCTCGCAACATGATCTCCGCTGGCGCATGACGTTCCTGCATGCTCACGGCTGAACCTGAAGGGCGGAGGCAAGTTTCCCTTGCCGTGCGAACTGCACCAGCATTTCATATCCCTCCAGGGTGCTTTTAATTCAGGCTTCAACCAAGATGTCTGTGTATTTTGGCAAATCCCAAGAGCATCAAGGATGCATCGCATATCACGTGCCGCAGTCCAGACGAAGTCGCCGGGAGTGCGCGATGGACCTGGATCCGTGGGAATAGTGCAATAATTAGCCTGCTGCGATGCCATCACCGCGCATGTACGATGGCATAATGAAGTCTCGATCCCTGGTCTTCAGTGATGCTGGCCCCCATTGGTACAGACCCTGCATATTGGCTGGATTTTAGGGGTCCTGCATTCCACCGATGTCATCCCACCCCTGCCATTGGCCTGGTGGCTTCGCGTCGTTGGCTGTGTTAGACCTCTACGCTCCCCCTGACGTCACACCGGTGATCACATATGAACCGTCACCAAAAAGCAGGTTTGATCAATCTATCAAGGGTGATGGAGTGATAGGGAGTGATTGAGGGCAGAAAGTAGTGAAATAGAGGTCATCGCCGTCGATTTTCGAACTGCGCTTGATCTTCCAGTTCTCCTGTATTCTCATACACCGTTTCATACCACAACCATTCATAAGCATCTCCGCTTCTCAAGCACACTTTAGATATCACTTCATCCAGTCCAATATACCAAAATGCCTTTCTTCTCCCGTCACACCGAGCCCGAAGAGGAGGCCGTCCCCGTCGAGACACACCGTCCCATCGAGGAGGAGCGCCCAAAGCGTGGCCTGTTCGGCTCCATGCGCCGTGATCCATCACCAACTCCTACGACCTCCACCAACAGCACACGCTTTACCTCCTCAACTTATCACACCACCCCTACGAATGACCACTCGTCCGGTCTATTCCGCCGATCCACCGACGCTGGCAGCAGCCGTCGATCCGGCCTGCTACACAAATTCGGCAACGGCAGTGAGGAGATGGACCCATCCATTGTCCAGGCTCGTGAGCGTGTGCTGAGCGCCGAGGCTGCTGAGCGGGAGGCCGACCGTGTCCTCGATATCGCCAGACGTGAGGTCCGAGAGGCCCGTGATCAGGTCCGCAAGCTAGAGCTTGAGGCTAAGGAGGAGGCTCGACGAGCCAAGATCAAGCAGTTTCATGCTAAGGAAGTGTCGAAGCGCGGAAAGGCTCTTGGACGTATGTTACCTTGAAGCTATACTCATTATCAACGTATAATGCTAACAGCACTAGGCCACGATGTCTAAGCATGTCTTCATCGAGACTCATACCATATATCCCACCAACAATTTCCTTTTATGCATGTTTAAATAGCAGGGAGTTTGGCTTCTGGCGGGAAAGCGTGTAAAAGTAACAGCGATCATGGTTTACTCCAATATTCAATTGCTGTATTATTAGCGTGCGGCTCTAGATGCATCGACATAGAAACGAGGAAATGTTCACACGATTTTCAAATGTTACTCAACTAGTATCTTTGCCAGTGACCTGCGATATCTCGACTCTGAATCTACGAACCTTGTCGCAATAATCTTGCTTGCAGACACCGCAATCCTTGTTATTTGCCGTACAATTCTTGCTTGGGAGTCTGGGAAGAGGATCGTTGGAAATTCAAATCGATTACGAAAGAAATGAACGCCAAGTTTACTGTCTTGGAACGTGTGACCATTGTTTTATTGCTATTCTGGAAGCTTTCACACCTCTCGACTCGCATTGTCAACATGTACAGTGAGAGGGATTTAAAGGAAAAGGATGATTTCGAAACAGAACTACCAAAGTTTAGGGGTTCGACAGCTGTCTAAAAGGGTTGGAAGTATGTGAACGCGCTGTGTGAGGAGGAGTTTATTTGTATACGTAAAGTACTTGAAAGATTTCGTGTGAAAGTAGAAAAGCTCACTTCTTTGATCATGCTGCAATATATTCAAGGACACCAACTTGCCCCTTACTGAAAAAGAGATGGATGTGTCTTGGAAGTTCAGGTGATCAGACAACGGTATCATGCTTGCTATTGTTTGTCGCCGTTGCTGGTGGATAGGTAGATGCATGTCATGTGCTTCTTTGTATTGTTCGGCTCTCATGAAAGATGTGTCATTTTACCACCATAGGGTGGGAGCTCTAGTGCAGTACACCCTAACCTAGCCATCTTCATGTTCAGACACTATGAGATGCCGAGGTGGTGGGATTTGTGCCGCCAAGTCTGCTGAAAAAGCGGTCCAGCAAATTTTCGTCGTCTTTATTAGAAATACCTGTAGCGCTTGGAATCGGAGTGACCTCCCCTTTGACCACACTACCAGGTAATACAGGGATACTGGGAATAGACTCCGATGAGGATAATGTCTTCGATGTTGAACGAGAGGAGAGCAACGTGATCGTTATTGTGGAGCTGACGGGAGTGTCAAAGGAGGCAGATGTTGTATTTGATTGTGCTATTGAGAGAGCAGGAGTTTCTTTTGACCCTAGCGAAGGGCTGGGTATCTGACGAGCTGATGATTGCGAAACCGATGTGAGCTCCGTTGTACTAAGCCGGCAAGTTGTTGCCATAGTTGATATCGAGTAAACAGATGTGAAGATGTCCACAGGAACTGGAGAATCCTTCTGGGTGAGAGGCAGTGTGAGAAATGGCTGGCTTGATAAGGTGGTCTTCTCATAATCTGATGAGACTTGGTGCTCACTCCAAGGACTGAGGGATGTTGAATCTTCAAAGAGCAAAGTCAACGACAGACTTGGATCTATTCTCGTGATGCTGATGATGCTTTGTTTTGCATTACCTACAAGAGTGATGGCTGTAGTATTACTACTTGTAAGTATATTTGTGCATGAGCCAATACTGCTGTTCTCAACGGTGTTGGAGATTTCCAGGTAGATTGATGGTGGATAAGGAACGCGAGAACCAACATACTCGCAAAGACATATAAGGAGAATCCACCACAATGGAAAGGCGGCCATTATGTAGCGATTAATGGCTTAAGATTAGGCGTTCGTTTGCTTGCGTGAAATCCGTATTTAAAAGGGAAATAGAAAAGAAGTAGAATAAGCAGACCTCAGGAAAGAAGAAATGTGAGATATAAAGTTCAGCAAGAAGCGCGGAAGATTGTCACGAGAATTGTGACAACAAGTCAACACCAAGTCATGCTCATAGTTGTAACGGATGACTGAATGCTATGATGGTGCAAACGGTGGAAAGGTGATCCGTCCCGCGTTTCTTTCGAGTGTGCAAAGAAAAGCATGCTCGAAATACAGACAAGCACACTTCAACAAGTTGAGATGATTTCTTATCAAACATCTGGGCTCATGGAGGAGCGGTACCTATTGACATCCCGAGAACATCTGCATTGGTGGCCAATGCTGGAGGAAACTGGCGCGCAAAGGTCCACTGCCGCAAGTGACCCGTTTTTGACCCTCTAAATCCATGACACACCAACAAGTCTGTATATCTCTGTCTTGGATCAATATCAGTCGCATCCCATCATCATAAGTTAGTCATTTGACAGCAAAAACGTTTGAATTAACCGCATAGTACCTAGGTAGTCCGGTGTTTTGGGGAAGTTGGGATGCTTTGACCATCACGTGTAGGTGGGTTGTGCACGGGCCATTGCGGGTACCTAGCTCTGCGCTTAGGCCATGCTTGGAATCCAGCCAGCCTTGCACTTACCTACCTGTAGGCAGAGCTGCCATTGCGCGAGCCTTTCGTAAACCGCCCGACCTACCTACCTTAGCAACAGCCAGCCAATTTCCTCCCTCGAACACCTCGACTTTCGCACCTACACCATCGTAATCCGAACCCCTCCACCTTCTGAACCTTCTACTTGTATCACGGCACGAGCCTGACATTCTCAAGATGGCTGACGCTGCGTTCAAGCCGGAGAAGGACTACAGCAAGGAGGCTGACAAACAGATTCCAGAGGCTGAGTCGTTGGCAAAGGTGCGCATGGCAATCTACTGCATCGCTCATATTGTAGAAAAAGCTGACACTCTGGGTGATTGTAGACCGACATCCAAGCTGCTATTGAAAAGCTCACCGTGCTTGAGAAGCAGACCCGACAGGTAAGCTCTTTTGGTGGTGAGGCGTTAGCATCAGCAACTTGGCTCACATTCTTTCTAGGCATCAGATCTCGCATCAACCTCACGGATACTCATCGCGATCGTCACAATAAGCAAGAACTCGGGCGACTGGAGCTTGCTGAATGACCAAGTTCTTGTCTTGTCCAAGAAGCATGGCCAACTCAAGCAAGCCATCACCAAGATGGTGCAGGTCGTCATGGGCTTCCTGGATGACACTCCCAACCTAGATACCAAGCTCTCCGTCATAGAGACGCTGCGAACCGTGACTGAGGGAAAGATTTTTGTCGAGGTCGAGCGAGCCCGTGTGACAAAGATTCTCTCCGACATCAAGAAGGAACAAGGCGACCTAAAGGCGGCCACCGATATCCTCACAGAGCTCCAGGTTGAGACCTTTGGGTCTATGGATCGAAGGGAGAAGACCGAGTTCATTCTAGCGCAGGTCGCTCTTTGCATCGAAATCGGAGACTGGACACAAGCCGGTATCCTAAGCCGAAAGATCAGCACAAGATATCTCGCCCGCAAACCGAAGAAGACTGCTGAGCAGCTGGAGAAGGAGAAGAAGGAGCGCGAGAAGAAGAAAGAGAGAGGTGAAGATGTCCCAGAGGAAAAGGAAGATGACACCACGGATCTTAAGCTCCGGTACTATGAGCAGCAGATCATTCTCGCGAAGCACGATGACAAGTATCTCGATGTTTGCAAGCACTACAGACAAGTCCTGGACACGGAGGCGGTTGAGGAAGACTCGGCCAAGCTCCACCCAGTATGTCTTGTTGCTTCCATGATGATCTGGACGATTGCTAATACTTTTAGGTTCTACAACGAATCATCTACTTCGTTATTCTTGCTCCCTATGATAACGAGCAGCATGACCTCCTCCACCGAATCTACCGTGACACCCGAAATTCTCAAGTTCCGCAGGATGCCGAGCTCCTCAAATTGTTCACTGTCCAGGAGCTCATGCGTTGGCCCGAGGTGGCTAAAATCTTTGGTCCTCATCTCTGTGGCACTGACGTCTTCGACGCGCAAGAAGGTCAGTCTGGCGACGAGAAAGCATTCCAGCGGTGGCAGGACCTGCGGAAGAGAGTTATCGAACATAATGTCCGGGTGGTGGCGAAGTACTACACGCGCATTCAAATGGGCCGACTGACGCAGCTCCTCGACCTTACCGAGGATGAGACGGAGAAGTACATCAGCGATCTGGTGACGTCCAAGACCGTGTACGCAAAGATTGACCGACCAGCTCGGATTGTCAGCTTCGCAAAGCCCCGGGATGCGGATGACATTCTGAATGAGTGGAGCTCGAACATGAAGAGCCTGCTTGGCTTGCTCGAGAGAATCGACCATTTGATTACCAAGGAGGAGATGATGGCCAGAATTCAACCTACTGCTGGCGGCGGCAAGACTGGGAAGGGTAAGGCAGTAAAGGCGAAATAGAATCATTAAAGGTCGTGATTTGACTTGCAATCAAGGGTCAAAACGGACCCTGAGACTGCCTGTATCTATATGCCATAGATTTTGCTCCTCCTGCGGAGCAGTGTAACACTGGAATACATGTATAACGGACTTCTAGGGTGCCTATGGCTGTGTCGTCTAAGCTCATGATCCTTCTACTCTATATTATATCATCGGCCTTGCCGCCTCTACGTCTTCCTCACAGCGCTTCTTAACAAATGCCACGAGAGGCATCGCCCATTCTCTACTTACAGGAACGTAATGCCCTCCTGGATGCACCACTTCCATGGGATCCTCGCATCGGACTACTAGATTACGGCTCCGACTCTCTTCCACTACGGTATCTAGGCTGCCGATAAAATGCAGTGTCGGCGTGCTGATCTTTGGCTCGTAGAGCCACCCGAGGGCGTCTGGTGGTGCGAAAAAACCACTATATATGACCGCAAACTTGAGTGGCTGATTGCCGTTTGCCTCTCTTAACGCCTGGAGCCATGACCAGTCATAGTCTGCCGAGTTGCTTGGCGGCGTTCGAGGCTGCGGTTCCGTCTCTAATGCAGCGGCGAGGAGCGCGGCCATGGCGCCGCCCTGAGAGAAGCCGACCACGCCGTCGACGTGGCCGCCGGCATCCTCGCGGATGGCTGTTGCAAGAGCCTCAAAGCCCTCTCGTAGAAGCCGATATTCGCCGGTGCCCTCGTCCTTGCGCCACCACGCCCACGCGTCCGTCTCCGACCCGTGCTCATCATCACTGGCAACTGCAGCACTCGGCTCATACCCAGGTATGTCCTTGGGGGAGAGCCGATTGGGCCCGGTGGGGTAGATGAGAGTTGGGCTGATTTTGAAGGGTGCAAGGGACTTTTGCATGAGCTTCTCTAGAGCTCGAGTCTTGGCCCGGAACAGCGTGCCAGATTGTGTGTACCCTAGGTTCCTGTAAGCAATAATTCAATTATCACTGAACTTCATTGACAGAATAAGATTCGACCTACCGTGAAGCATTAATATCTTGACCTCCTTCTTGTCGTTGGCCTTTGGTTGCTTCTTATCACCACTGCCACCAGGACCTTTCTGCCCGTTATCCGCCATGACGAAATATGCCCTGGTCGTCTTATGAAATCGATATCTATATAATGAGGGCCTAGATATGAGTATCCCTAGGCGGTTTGCTTGGCTATGCATTCATGTAATGGGATGTGAAGTTCATGCTGTTCAAAGGATCCACATGGTGGCAGTTGTATTAGAAATTGGACTATCTAACCTCGTGAGCCCGCTGACTAGAGGCGCTCCCTGACAAATTTCTTGCGGATATCGCCACCAATTGCACTCTTAGATATAAAAACTTGACAAAATAATAATTGTAAGTCGAACTGTTTTGGTATGTGCAAAAAGCCTTTACGTATTCCCCTATTCACGGGGGATGTCGATTATATACCGTACATCGATGTGCGCAAAGGTACGGTAGGTCTGCGTGGCATGAAGGGCATCGCTACAAGGTACTTCCGGCCATCAAGAAGAACCGAGAATAGCCACTGCCTAATTCGTTGGAACATCACGATATTGGGTCACGAAGACGCTAAGTTAAGCAACAAGACGAACGAATAACCCAACGCGAATCTCGTTCAGACAAGACATCAGTCGCACTGCTGGACATTGCATGGCTTTCCTTCCAAATATCGACAAAGCTCAATTGGGCTTGAATGCTGTTGATCTATGGTACAATCCGACTCTCATTTGATGCTCAGGCTCTGGGTCATGGCGTTGAGCTCCGTCCGTCTAGACACCTCCATCCATACCTCCTCGACGGCCTTAGTGACCTCCCGACTTCGCGTTCGGGTTGCGGGGATCATTCTTCCACTCGTCGCCTATTTGTAAAGTCAGATGTTGTAGAGACAGACCAGGGGAAAAGGGCTTGTCGTACTCTTCATGCTGGAGGTTTGCGCGGCGTTGACTCCGTAGGCAATGATCAGACCTAACCACACGTTAATACCACCTTCCATACCCCATTTGCAACTCCAGAGAAGACCGATCCAAGAAATCGAGCCCCATATCTGTCAGTCGAACATACCAGCAGCGAAGAAAGGAGCCATGGGCCGCACTGCCACACTGTTAGCAAACGTTTCCAGATGGAGGGATTTTGGAGCAGCGATTGACGTACGGACGGGCGCCGGGAACTTCTTCAGAGGGGTAACGCCGAACCAAGACATCTTGACGGAATGATTGCTCGACCGGAAATGAGGGATCGAGGCGGTGTGTTGATGTGATGCTGAGGTGTTGTTCGGTCTTCTTCAACGAGTGTTTTTCACGAACTGGAGCTTTCCCCGTACGCAAAGCCGCAGCCGAGTCCTTCCGTTGGCGCCTGAGGCAGACAATTTCGGGAGGAGTGGGTCAAAGGTCCTTTTGGAAGAACGGGTGCGTAGTAATGATTATCCGAGTCACGTGTCGATATCATAGCATGTGGGTACCTCTGGGCTACCTAATTAGGTGAGTGATGTCACTCACTCCATGCTCCCCTATGCAGAGGAGCTTGGTGATGAGGTACCCGCTTTCCCCAGCTCGGAGACACGCAGCTTGCCCAGGTCCAAATCGGCTGTTTCTCCGCAAATCATCAGCTGTGCAATTCCTCCTCTTTCCCATCCCCTCTCCTCTCCTGTTCGACCTGCCTCAAGCAAGCAAGCAAGCAATCACAATCAATCATACACCAAAGAGCTCTTGTCTATCCCGCCTGTAATCAAATCACACACACTACAGGAGCTGCTGCATCACTCAAGTGCGGGGTGTCGACTGTTTGTCATTCGTCCCCCATACACGCAGTATAACCAGCCTGGCCGTTCTCAACCTTGTTATCCAATTGCACTTCGAAGCTGCCCTCCTTTTCGTTTCACCCCCGGAACATCTCCTCTCTCTCCCCTGTTCACCTTGCCCAGCCTGCTTTGCTGTGCGCCTTACGCAGTAACCAAAGCAGTGTACTACTGACCTACCTACCCTACCTAACCGGTCACCGGTCATACTCTCGGCTTCCCAGCCTGTAATAACTGAGTCTGTCCCTTCCAAGGTGCCAACGGAATATTCGCTGCCTTCTGCCGCTGCTGCCAATTGGACTCGTTCTCCGTCTCCGATTATCTGCCGTATTATCTGGGTGCTTTCCGATACGGCCATCTTCGAGACCTCGGCCTGGCCTATTGACTTTGCCAATCCCGACCACCACCGTTTCCTCAACACTATACTTGGCAGAAGCGTCGTTCGCGATTTGAGCCTAGATCGCTTCGTGGTATAATCTCAGCTTTTCCCGTGTCGCCTCGGACACCTGAGATCGCCTCCCTCACTTCCTCATCAATCACCAAGCACGGTAGCTACGATGTTGTCACGACGCCTTGCCCGCGCCGCGACAGCAGCTACCCCGCGCTCAGGTCTGCGTGCCTTCACCAGCACAGCTGCCCAGAGTCGCACACCCTCGCTCGGCGATATCGAACATGAGAACGTCGAGTCCTTTAACAGCAAGCAGAAGGCATTCCGGGAGCAGCTAGCGGAGGCACAGAAACAGCGGGAAGCCAGTGCGTCTCCTTCCTCTTCCAAATCTTCTATTCCTGGTGTTGGCCAGGGCCTGGGCTCACTTAGCACTGCAAAAGAACGCGCACAGGAACACGCCGAGAAGGAGCCCGCTCGTAAGGCGGGCCCACTGACCAACCTGATCTATGGCACAAAGGAGGGCCGAGAGATGGATGCTCAGATCGAGGCGAGCTTCAGCCAGGTCCTTGCCCGAGGCAAGTATGTCCACAGCATCGTCTTCCACGAGGTGAAGCCTGATAAGGTCGACGAATATGTCGATCTTGTCGGCAAGTGGTATCCTCGTATGGCATCCATGCCAGAGAATAAGGTTCATCTGGTTGGAAGCTGGCGGACAGAGGTCGGCGATTGTGACACATTTGGTAGGTGATGACCTTTGCCAATGCACACAGAACTGAGCTACAGACCGATCTGAACAAGTTGGAGCTGACAAACTCCATAGTGCATATCTGGGAATACCAGCGCTACCAAGGCTACCATGCCTCCCTACACTCCATTTCTCACCACCCCGAGTTCCCGGAGTTTGACAAGAAGCTCAAGAGCTTGATCAAGTCCAAGAATACATCTCTCATGCAAGAATTCTCGTTCTGGCCGACCACTCCTCCACGACAACTCGGCGGCGTTTTCGAGCTCCGATCTTATACCCTGCACCCTGGAAACCTGCTGGAGTGGGAGACTCACTGGAGGCGAGGTCTCAAGGCCCGACGAGAGGTCATGGAAGGTGTCGGAGCTTGGTTTGTTCAGATTGGCGACCTGAATACGGTACACCACCTGTGGCAGTTTGCAGACTTGGAGGAGAGGAAGGTTCGTCGCGAACAAAGCTGGAGCGTTGAGGGCTGGAGCGACACGGTGCACAAGACTGTACCTCTTATTCAAGAGATGAAGTCGAGGATTCTTATCCCGATGCCATGGTCACCTGTGGCTTGAGCATGCAATGAGAGAACTTGCACATATATAGTCTTCGAAAAGACTCTCGAGAGTACATGTTGAGTTCCTCAAACTTGATGTGGGGCAATCAACTATTCTCTACATGTAACTATTACTTAGGCAGACCATGTCTGTCGAAGCATTGCCTTCTGGACTAACAAGGCCGGGTTTCTTAGTGGGTAAATAAAGCAGCAAAATTGTCTCTGTAATTTGGAATTTTTTTTTCTTCTTCCGTTATGGTGACAATATTTATTTGTACAGACTCAGGCCGACTACCTGAAATACAGCCGCAGATAGCGGGTATAATCAGAAAAACCAGGGCTCCTCAGTCGTCAATCTCCTCTCCCATCACCGCTGCCAAGTTTCGCCTCGCCAGCGCCAGCGTATGGCCTAGAGCCCCGAGCTTTGCACTCAATGAAAGCAGACTCGGGTCCGCACTCTCAACCCGGACTTTCTCCCGGACGAGAACCTCTGCTTGGGTCTTATCATCGCCGCCGTCTCCCCTCTCATCGTGAGATCTGCTGCCATTACTACCTTCGATGTGCGTACCCTCAGGGTATGTAAACGTGAACTCCTGGTCTGCCTCGTCATGCTCTAGCCTCCGAGCCGTGCCAATGGCTAGAGCGAACTTCATGCCCAAGTTGACCGGCGCATGCGCGGGTTCTAGAGCACGCAGCCACAGTATCAACGAGCTGTCCTGGATGCCCCAGTGAATGCTCATGTTTGAGCCCGGCTGGGGTATGAAGTGGACGGGAGAGCATGATTGGGTTTTCCAGTTCGGATCGGACGCGGTCAGGGGTTGGGGTCCCTTTAGTAAGGCCGAGGCTTCGGAGACGGACTGAGAGAGCAGGCGCAGCTGGGCTGCAACGAATGTTGCGTTGCTGGTTATAGGGGTGTGGGAACCTTTAAGAGGCTGTTTGGAGACTGGCACGGACGTTGAGGAAGGGTACGTGTACTTGAGTGTCATGTCGAGAAGGTCGATCGATTGCGTCAGTAGTGTGTGGAGGCTCGTGAGTGGTGTAATGTGGATAGGGTGCTCGGGGTTGATCGCCAAGGTCTGGGGAGGCTGAGTGCGCATCCGCAATTGAATAGTCTGTTCAGGTAAGTAAATCAGATGCGGACATGTAACGATCTAATTCTAACATACCCCTTTGACAATGCGTGTGCCAACTCGAGTTACATGGCCCTTTACGAGCTCATTTCGTGGCGTACTAACAACCAAGGTGCTGCCGGGATCAAGAGGTGCAAGCAGTGCATAGCAGTGCTCCAGACCATGCTTGAGGTTCTGGAGGGTTTCGTGGAGCTCGTCAAGCAGCCATTCTAACTCGCGCCGCTGAAGAGAGGAGGAGAGACTTGGTGTTAGCGAGATGCTAGCTGGAGGAGAGGGAAGAAGAACCCATCCATCATCAATAGGCCAGGACATGACGGCGGCCATAACGATGCGTGGGGACTTGGGGTCCTAAGATGAACATGGACGGCCGCTCACCTGAGTATCCTCTTCGGCGGTTTTAAGCTCTTGAGGCGATATAGGTGGCCATATTTCGATGGACATGTTGGCAAATCACCCCCTTTGTGTGATTGAGTCTGCCACCTTGTCAGGCACCCATATTCCTGGATCCAGCCTGGAATGCCGGCGAGGTGAGTGAAGAGTACGTGAGCTTGCTGAATGACTGAAGAGGTAGAGAGATGGCAGAAGACAGTTGTCGTAACGTGATCGGAGGTTGAGCTTGGAGCTATCGTCGAGAACTGCCGTTTGTAGGCAACCTAATTACCGAAACGGCAGGCGGTGAGCGGTACAAGCATGGGCTTGCTCTCCACCACGGTCATCAGAGCCCCACTAACTTGACGTACGTTCCTCTACCGTCCTGCGCCAAACGGCCGGCCTGTCGCATTTCTACAGTCGATTATGCAAGGCTGATTGCTCCCTGACCGTTACTCACCCAGCACCCAATTTCTGTATTTCCGCACAGCCTTCCGGAACTGCATTGATTACACGACATTGTCATACGGGTATTGCAAGTGGGACCAAAGCATAGACCTGTCCTGCGCGATTACTTACCGACTGGCAATGAGTGGCAGTACCAGCTCCCGCCGCTGAAGATGGATGACGAACAGCATCAGTCCAAGGCAGCACTGCCAGCTAAAGACCAGGATATCCAGCTGCCTAGTAGGCCTGCAACAAAGCTGCCTTTGCTACCAAAGAGTATGACCGTCCTTGATCTTTCACCCCGTGTCCTTATTTCTCGACCTTGGAGTGCTTCAAGTCGCCCATGAAAGCCATGAGCTCACGCTTTACAGATTGCAAGGTCAACAAGCGGCCGCTCAATAGGCAACCGCAGACGACAAGTCCAAGCTCGCGCATCATCTACGTTGGCACCAACACCTCTTTCGTTGCCATTGTCAAGCGCGTGCGCAAAGCATTGGAGACCTCACCCTCTGGAGTGCGAGGACAGTCAACCCGGGGACTTCCCCTGACTGCGCGTGTAGCAGCATTGAGTGCGGGATCTGCTAAAGCCAAGGGAGACAGTGCGTCAGAAGGTGACGAGATCCTTGTGCGCGGGGCGGGACGAGCCATCGCAAAGACGCTGCATATTGCGGCATTCTTCACCCGGGAGCGAGACTGCAGGGTTAGTCTGCGCACGCTCACCGAAGGTGCGGTTGATGATATCGTCATGGACGATGCCGAGTCAGAGGGTGGCTTTGCGGCTGAGGAAAGTCGTGTTCGTATGGTCAGCGTACTGGAGGTCGGCGTCCGCTTGATATGATACCCTGGTATATGTTATGCTCGGTCGGGTCGGCGGTTCTTACATTTAACGCGCGAGGGAATCACCAACTGGGCGGCATGATTGGAGATTTCAATGAGATTGAATTTGCATCATCCATGGCGTTTGGGGTATGAAAACTTTATGTCCACTGAAAGGAAGGACTGGCGTTTAGGATTCGAGGAAGAACGACTGCAAAAAGGGGGCCATCGGAGGGATTTCGAGATTTGACAGCATCACTTCCATGGCTCTTATTCTAAATAGAATATCGATCACGCCACAGTATGCACCACCATGTCATTATTTGGACACGCCTTTCGTCAAATCCCAAATACACCTCGACAGTTAAAGGTCACTTGTACGCCCAATTTGACAACCTTTCATTTATGTTTATGTTGCAGCACGGTGGCAGGATTTTCAGTGAATGCGCTGGAATCGGAAGGTGGTACTGTCCCTGCCTGGGGAAGTTGTGGGGGGCCACATCTGTTGAAGCAGAGCACCTTGGACACCCATTCACCCCTGACTGGCCTGTGATCTTGTTGCCAATGGCCGATCCTTGGCCATGCTGGGTCTTCAACTTTATTTCAGCCTCATATCCACTTAGTTGCGATCCTTCTTTTCGCTGCCTTTTTAGTTTTCTGCACTCTGGTGAATGCTCAATACCGCTCGTCCCTCTTCACCCGTGACATGCATGGCGATCAGGATTTTCATCATGTCTTGATTATGCTCTGGATAGGAGAAGGGCAATCCCAACTGACGTGCCATCATTCTTTGTATTGGAGGTATCTCCTTGGCTCAAACGTCATGGTGCGTGGTGAACAGTACTAAGTTGCATTGGAGCCATCTCCTACGTCAAATTTGAAGTTTATCACTTGTCTTTCAATCTTTCCTTCTAGTTTCTCTCTGATTTGAGGTTGATATTGTCTGTGTTTCTTAAGACTTCTAACTTCGGGCTGTTTTGAGGCGAAGTTGCCTCGCCTCGTCTCGTCTGGCGGCTGAATGTGCTGTGAAGTATCATTGGCGGACGGGCGAACTTGGGGTAGTCATCGCGACTACGTCCAATCCACCTGCTTTGACGGTACCTTACATGAGAATAAGTCATGAGGTTACCCAAGCCGGCATTACACTATCCCGGGAAGTCCAGAGCCGGTACAAATTTCCCGAAGCATAAGGCCAGCAGCCTTCGATCACACGGAATATCATGTGCCCATGAAAGTGGCTACATGCCTACACCCAAACCTCTCAATACGATCTACTCGACGAGCTGGGCAATATACCGGCTAATCTCTGTCGCACACTTGTCGCACCTCTCTAATCACTCTCCAGTGGATCTAAAGCTCGTGCCAGGACGACGGTAACCAGACTCGTGCACACGGCTGTCTATTTTTATCCGCATCTCATCAGGGGACGGCCTTTTTGCCGCATCGGCAGAATGTTGGTCTAGACAACTTGTTTGCCCCAACTCCTCGCCTCCCAATGACTGGTAATATCGCTGGCTGTAACGCCATTCAAAGCACCGTACGACGCTCATTTGAGCGTAGGATTCGTCTATCCTGGATTTTCTGTGCTCACACAGCTGATTCCCCATGTCATCATATGCTAGTGTTGCATCGTCAAATTTCCTGGTAACTAAAAGGGACGGGGCAGAAGGAGATGGCTGACAGCAACGCATAATCAGCGATCGAAATGGCTTTGACAAGCATTATCTCTAACGGCGGGCCGAGACACGGTTTACCCGCCCTCCATCCGCCTTGCTACTCGAAGAAGTCATCGGAATGAGCAGCTCTCGTCAAATTTCGCCAAGACAAAGGCGTCAGTGCCGGCAGCGAAACTCGACTCTCCAGGTTGCAAGATGAGCACCAAGGTTTTTTAAGTTGAAAAGGCTTGATTGACTTATGCAATGACTATACGAGAGAATTTTGATGAGAGAGATAAGAGAAACCATATGCCTTTGGCACCCCTTCCCGCGTCTTTCACCTTCGTTCAAGCGTCCCGTCGGCCCAGACCAAACAGTAAGGAGGCCATCCTCCAGTCTCTTTTTCGAGCTCTCTCCTTGCCAACCAACCGCCTCCGTCCATCTGAACCAATCGGTACTTTCCAGAAAGAATCAAGGGCAGCAGTATGCCTGCCCTGCCTGAACCCCCGGCCCAATGCTGAATGAAAGTAGGAATAATAGTGGCGACGGATTGATGCTAGCCCATTGCCCTCCCCTCACCCCCTTTCCCCATCCTCATCCTTCCATATCACCACCCACCCCTCACAACCTGTACTCGCGGGACAAGTGGCTTAGGTACCTGGACCACCCGTCAGCCAAGCCCGTGATCTCGCTCGCTGTTTAGAGCTGCTTAATCTATTTCGTACAGGGTCTCCAGCTGAGGTGGACCTGCTGGGTGAAAGCGACGGTGGCATCGTCGTCGGTGATCTGACCGGAGGCCGTGCTGTTGGAGCTGGTGAGCGCAATGCGGTTGTTGATGTTGAGGATGCCGTTGGCGCCGCAGGGCGCCCAGATGACGCTGGCGGTGGGGACCTGGTCTTGCTTGGTGTAAACCTGACCCGCGGCCCAGATGCCGCCGCCGGTGATGCTGGTCTGCGTTGTCGTCGTGGCGCTCGCGTCCTGGCTGAAGTAGTAGGTGCTGAAGAAGGTGCCCGTCACGCCCTTGTCTAGCTGTGCGTAGCCGTGGTAGGTGCTGTCGACCACGGCGAACTGGAAGCCTCCCGGATACTTCAGGTTCAAATGCAGCTGGCAGTTTTTGCTGCGGTCCGCGATGACGGTGCCGGGCCCGATGTAAGTCTGGAAACCATCGAAGCCGAAAGTGACAACCTGTAGTGGCGGGGTCAGCATGCCGGAAGAATGCGGGAACACGTATGGTACATCGCAGTTCCGGGGTTTCTAGAGATTTTTCAAACTTACAGTCCGATCAGGGGAGATGGATGTTGTGACGGTGCCTTGCGGGCATCCATTTCCGGAGGATGTCGCGCTCTGGATCTGGATCTGATTCGGATCCGGGAGATCAGAGCCGAAGTCCGGAGTGACCAGCGGGCTGGCGGCCACGAGGAGAGGTAGGAGGAATGCAGCGACGGTCTTCATTGTTACTTTCTGTACTTTTCTACTAAGACGACTTGCCGGGAGAAGTTCAAATTAGATATTAGAGGCTGGCGAGGAGAGCTGGACTGGAGGAGCTGAGTTGAGTGCTGATGGAGTGAAGCTCGAGATGCAGTTGAAGGTGGCAGATCGTTTGTATTTATATTCGAAATGGTGCTTCTTTCCTCGGGTATGTTGACGAGAAGAGCACATTGAGCCGTCCTGCATATTGTCACGATGCCAGTCTAAGAAACCCAAGACCAGGTCGTCGACACCCGTCTGGAGCGCGGAGACAGAACGGGGCCCGCCGCTCTGGTGGTGAGAAACCGCCGTCCTTAATTTGCACGTCTAGATTACTTCACATAGGCGTTCTCAGCCTCCGGATGTCTCCCCTGCGCGTGTCGGGCGAGCCAACCCCAGAGCGAGTCAAGCAGTTTCGTCCATCTGCTGTTTCCTTCTCAGCCTCCATGGCTGCTGGCCCCAGGACAATCATGAGCTGCAAATTTGCGGTTGAAAAGGGGATAAATGAATTCATATTAAGGCGGGCCTTCCAGCTCTTATGAGTCCTGTCTTGGTGCCTCTCCCTAAACGAACGTAGCTTTGGAGACTGTGGGGTTGGCTTGGAGCAGAGGAAGAGGACGACAAAAATAGAACTTTCCAGATCGGTCGAGACAGTCCTTCGATATTGCCCCCTCATTGGAGAACGAGGTAGCGAGTGGCTCACGGTCTGAACGTGAAAAGACAAACAAGGGTCAGTGTACAGCCGAGCTGTTGCCGTGTGAAGAGCCAGAACTGGACGAGCATTGCACTGGGGTAAGCTCGTCGCTCGCTCCATGGCGTTTTTACGTTATTAAAACACCCAGAACCTGATGCTTCTTTCGTTAGATGGCGAATGATATTCCCAAAAAGGCCGTGGAATCACCGACCGCCGGTGTTCATGGCGACCTGGGCCTGTTGCTATTTTAAGGGGCCAGGGCCAGGGACTTGTAGATTAAGCTTAATTATCCCTCCCTTCAGTTGCTCTCCCAAAGCTCTGTCTGGGTCCGGGAGGCGTACGGCCAGCAGCCGCGCTATATCACCGACTTGTTATGATATGGAGTCACCTGATGGCATCGTGAGGCGGCCTGGGCTTGGAGATCCCTAAGTCGCCAGCCGGACCATTCGACGTTATAGTAGAGTTGAAGCTCGATTCCTAGGGATTTAACCCGGCTTGTTCAATAACCTCCCGTCCGGGACAAGCCTTTTCTCCTATAATAGGGCAATAGCATGCCATGTTACATGATGAAATCAAGTCCATTTTGGTAAGCATAATGCTCCGTTCGAAATTTGAAAGAGAATTCGTTTATGGGAGCTTCGGTCGAACTGGCCATGTGTCGAGAGGCCGAAGCGCCCCGCAGGCGTTCCGTGTCTGCTCACGCAGAGAAGATTTTGCAGGGGCAGTTTCGTTTCCCTGACTGGGCTGGTATTGGTCGTCTGTTGCGCGGTCATTTGTTCGATATCCCCAGAGTATGTTACAGTCATGTGGAATAACGCGGCACTTGAACATATCTTACACCATAATTCCACAATAGTAGCGGTTCGGCGTGTAAAAGTACTATGATGGAGTTGTAATCGTGTCCTTCAGCGGCTTCCATACGTCGGTATCATCGATATTGAACAGACATGTAACATTGCCTCGCTATCGGATGTAAGAGACTAGGCCTACAAGCACAGCTACAGAGACAGATACAGCAGTCGTCTGCAGTCGCCTAGTCCGGTGTTATAGCCTGCCAAGGACACCACTGGTCATATAGCCTGGAATCCGGGTTCGCCAACCAGCATGGCGTTGCTGTGCATGCCCGCCTGCATCAGGGATACATCGCGTCAGACGTGGTGGGTAGGCGTGCGTGTGGCCTCTTTACCGTGCCTTTCCAGCTCTATACTTGCGCCTAAGAATAGAACGGATAGAGTTGGTCCAATATCCGGGGTTGTGACGGGTTGATATTATTCTCTTGCTTCTCATCGACGTCCCTCATCACTGGATGGGTGATGTGACCTCTTGATGCTCCGCCTGATGACAGGTCATCGTCGGGATCGCATTATCCTAGTTCTCGTGATATCCATGGGATTGTGGAGCAAATGGTGTTTGGCAGAATTCGAGCTACCAAGCCAATGCTACGAAATGAGGTGAGCACGTGTGATGAGGTGTCATTGTGGAGATTGATAGGAATATTCTCAGGGGTGAACTGCATTTCACGGCTAGGACGACAGAGTATTTCGGATGAAACCCAAAGCATGCCAACCACCTGGTTCCTGACGAGCCTGTAGCACTGATCTGGCGAGGATGCGGGGAAAATACATCCAAATTAGACTGGAAGGTTTAGAGCGCGAATGCAACGGTTCGATGCTTTGAAGTGTTGAGGCGAGCCAAAGCTGCAACACCGATCACGGAGGTCAGCAAGATATAGAGGTAGTACTACAATGGATGAAGGATTACATTGACCGGAACACAAATACCATCAAGGACGAAGTGAATCCAATTCTGTCTATTGCATGGTAAAGAATCTGACAAGTATGTACAAAAATGCCTGCTCGTATTTGAGTTGACCTCTTTTCAACACGTTGCTGGCTCAGATCCGCTGCCATCACCTCTCCCTCTCCATTATGTCAAGACTAAACTTGCGACGCCTCTGCTCGTCTAAGCACTCTCGACTTGCTTAAGAATACCCTCCAGGTTAATGCTCTTGGGTCGCTCAATGGGCAGACCAAGCGCACGGTCCCAGATCAGCTGGGCCAGGGGACCAAGACCTCTCGACACGCCGAAGGTAGCTGTGTAGTACAGAGTCTCGGTGAAGCCGTAGTGGTGGAACAGGACACCTGAGCTTGAGTCGACGTTGGGGTAGGGGTTCTTGGTCTTGCCGTGCTTCTTCAGCACCTCAGGGGCGACCTCGCTGTTCTTCTTAACCAGCTGGAAGACTGGGTTCTGAGCAATCTCGGGGCGCGAGGAAGCGTAGTCCATCAGAGCCTCGAAACGGGGATCGGGCTTGCGGAGAACGGCGTGTCCGTAGCCGGGGACTACACGACCACTGTTTAGGGTCGACCACAGATAATCGTGGACATCCTTCTCAGTGTAGCCGGAAGGAATGGCCTCCTTCATCTGAAGGATCCAGCGGAGAACTTCTTGGGCAGCAAGTCTACTTCGCGTTAGCTTCCCTTTACTATGTGCTAAATATGGAAACAACTTACCCGTGAAGAGGACCGGCCAGACCCTGAAGACCGGCGCTATAGCTAAGGAAGGGGTCGCTCAAAGCACTGCCGACGAGATGAGTGGCATGGGCGGAAACGTTGCCACCCTCGTGGTCACCGTGCAGGGCGAGATACAGTCTCAGGAGATCCTGGAAGTTCTCATTCTGCTTGCCGCCCTTGCCTAGCATAGCAGCGAAGTTGTATGCCCAATCCTGCTCGAGGTCGACCTCGGCGGGGAGAGCACCACCGCCCTGGTAAGAGTTCTGGTAGATCTTGGCGGCAATGGTCGGCAGCTTGGCGAGCAAGCTGATGCAGTCATCAAAGGTGGGCTCCCAGTAGTCGGCCTTGTTCAGGCCCTGCTCGTACGCCTTGGCGAACTTGGAGGTATAGTTCAGGGCCGACACGGCAATGGCGAACTGGGTCATAGGGTGAAGGTCCTTGGGGAAGTCGTCGAGCATCTTGCTGACGAACTCGGGCAGCTGAGCCTGCTCAGCGAGCTCCCTAGAGAAGACGCGGACCTGGTTGGTGGAGGGGACTTGGCCGGTCAGCAGAAGCCAGAACATGGCCTCGGGAAGCATCTCAGTGCCTGTCTTGCCCTTGGGCAGCTCCTTCTGGCAGTCCTTGATGGTGCGTCCGTGGAAGCGGATGCCCTCGTTGGCGTCGAGGACGGAGCCCTCCCAGACCATGGCCTTGAGGCCACGCATGCCGCCGAGGGTGTTCTCGACCTTGACCTCGCCGAGGACCTTTGAACTGTGGGCCTTGACTTTCTTGAGAAGCTCACGCTTGGCGGGAATGGCCTCCTTGAGGGTCGTCTTCAGGTCGGGCTCCGAGCTCGAGGAGTAGTTCCTGGAGGAGAGGATGGCGCCATTGCAGACAGGGCGGGCGGCCAGAGGCTATTCCGGTATCAGTCAGCGATCTGAAGAGTTAGGATTTTTGGAGGAAATGGCGGCATGACATACGCGAAGAGCCCTCAACGCCCGCGATGTAGACTTCACGTTCATGGCCATGGCGGAGTTGCTCCACAGCACAGGATGAGCTCTTGTTAGCGGTCGTGGGGTCCAGGCGGGGTAGACTGCGGGGGAGCGGGCGGTGGTCAATTGACGGGGATGAGGCTATTCTGAAGTGAAGAGAGTCAGTCTCTTCAGTAAGAAGATTAAAAATAAAAATAAAATCATTAAGAAAGTGAAGGGCCGGGGAAGCTTTAGGTTTTACCTGGGAGTCGGTCTGTCGGTCTGTCGGTATGTGAACGATGCTCCTCCTGGCAGTACGTACAGTACACAGGTGGTCAGCTAGGTTACCTAGGTAGTTAGACAGGTAGATAGGTATCTTGGACCTCGCTCCAGCAGTCGGGAGTCCCTGGCTAAGCTCTAACGCTCCCCCCATTAGGTACCTAGGTACCCATTAACCAGTAACCCCACGTTTGTCTCCATCCCATGAACCGAGGAAAGCCGCAGCCACTTCTGCATCCCCATTGGGCGCGCCGGCAACGGACGAAGGGTTCAGGGAGCAATTGACCAATGGGCACTGCTCTGGGTAGCCTGCACATGCCTGGAGCCTTTCTATCAGGTTTAAGAGGAAGTCGCTCAGAAGGAGAGCCCCACACTAACATTAACTGCCACAGCGCACGCTCCAGTGCTTTGCTCTCTGTGTGTGCCACGGCTGACCAACAGAAAAGCCGCTGCAGCTGCAGACTGGGGCCGATTCGGCAAACCTTTACCGTTGCCCACCACCGACTGGGCCGAGGGGCGCCGCTCCGCCATTGCACCTGGGCATTGCATTGCATTCATGTCATTCTGCCGCATCGAGCGAGAGAGGATTAACTCGAATCTCCGCGACATGGCAGCTCGGCGATCGGATGTGTAATCCACTCTATACTATACTGGCTCGGACTGCAGATACTTCACTTATCTTCGTTTCCCTTCACGCTGCTTCTCGCTGGTTGAGCAAAAACATAATTAAACATAACATAATCTAGAAGTGTGCAGCAACATATATACAACTTCTTCCCCTCTTTCCGTCCTCCTCCTCCTCCTTCTCCGGTGCTCCTTTCGGTAGCCGGTACGCATCTACGAAGGCACACCGCGATCCGTCACATCAGCCACGGGTGACGATGCTAAGACGGATAGCCACCACAGCCCCTCGCCGGGCTGTCTCGAGAACACAAGCCCTACGGTCCTCATCGTCGCCTGCGTTCAGACTCCTATCGACAACTGCCTGCCGCAACATGCCCAGTCTACCTGCTGTCAACCCCCCAGTCACCTCCGCCCTCCCCTCCGATTCCTTCCAGCTCCTGGCCGAAACACAGAAGCCTGGTTCCGCTGAAGATGCTCTGTACGAGCAGCAGATCAAGGATGTAGAGGCATGGTGGGCGTCGCCCAGGTACAAAGGCATCAAGCGCCCTTACACGGCAGCGGACATTGTGTCCAAGCGTGGCTCCCTCCAGCAGAGTTACCCGAGCTCCGTCATGGCCAGGAAGCTATGGGATCTGATTCAAGAGCGAGAGAGCAAGGGCGAGCCTATACATACAAGTATGTTGCCCAAAATTTGAAGCATCGTCAAGAGGTACATGCTAACGGACCACTCTGCAGTGGGCGCAATCGATCCCGTACAAATGACACAACAGGCTCCTCACCAGGAGGTTCTCTACCTCTCTGGCTGGGCGTGCTCCTCCGTCCTCACGTCGACAAATGAAGTCTCTCCCGACTTTGGCGATTACCCCTACAACACTGTGCCCAACCAGGTCCAGCGCATGTTCAAGGCCCAGTCCATGCATGACCGCAAGCAGTGGGATGCGCGCCGGAAGCTATCCCCTGAGCAGCGGGCTTCTACACCATACACTGACTACTTCCGTCCCATCATTGCCGACGGTGACACTGGACACGGCGGCCTAACCGCCGTTCTGAAGCTGGCCAAGCTCTTCGCAGAGAACGGTGCTGCAGCCGTGCACTTCGAGGACCAGCTGCACGGCGGCAAGAAGTGCGGCCATCTGGCTGGCAAGGTCTTGGTCCCCGTGGGCGAGCATATCAACCGTCTGGTGGCCGCCCGCTTCCAGTGGGATGTCATGGGTGCCGAGAACCTCGTCATTGCCCGCACAGATTCCGAATCCGGCAAGCTACTCAGCAGCGCCATCGATGTGCGCGACCACGAGTTCATCCTCGGTGTCACAGACCCGAGCATCGAACCTCTGGCCGAGACGCTGCAGGAGATGGAGGCTAAGGGAGCCGCGGGACCGGAGATTGATGCCTACGAGGCAAGATGGGTCAAGGGCGCCAAGCTGGTGACCTTCGACGAGGCTGCCGTTGCACACTTGCAGGCCGAGGGCGTCTCCGCTGACAAGATCGCCGAGTACCAGAAGACTGTCGTAGAGAACCGCGACATGGGCATCACCGCCCGCCGGGCGCTGGCGAGCAAGTACACTCCCGGCAAGGAGGTCTACTTCTCGTGGGACGTCCCGCGCACCCGCGAGGGCTTCTACCACTACCGCGCCGGCATGGAGGCGGCCACAAAGCGTGCGCTGGCCTTTGGGCCGTACGCCGACCTGCTGTGGGTAGAGACGGGCGACCCGAACGTCGAGGTCGCAGCCAAGCTCGGCCGCACCGTGCGCGCCGTGTACCCGCACAAGGGCCTCGTGTACAACCTGTCGCCGTCCTTCAACTGGATGGCGCACGGCTTCACCCCGGAGACGCTCAAGTCGTTCATCTGGGACATTGCCCGCGAGGGCTTCGTCGTCCAGCTCATCTCGCTGGCCGGCCTGCACAGCACCGCGACCATCAGCAGCGAGCTGGCGCGCTCCTTCAAGGACGAGGGCATGCTGGCGTACGTCAACCTGGTGCAGCGCCGCGAGAAGGAGCTGGGCGTCGACGTGCTCACGCATCAGAAGTGGAGCGGCGCGCAGTACATGGACGGCATCGTGGGCGCCATCCAGAGCGGCTCTAGTAGCAATAAGAGCATGGGCGAGGGTAACACCGAAGGCCAGTTCTAAGAAATGTACATTTCCAGGTGGTGAATTGTGGTAGTAGATAGAAGCCCCCCTAGAAGCCGAATGAGAGCGGTATGCATCAAGCGGCGTTTGGGTTGAATTGTATAGTTTGGCATCAGATGGCAATATAATCCGATTTGAAACCTATTTTTCCAAGCACCTCAATGACTGTAGTAATCCTTTTGATTGCACGGATTTTTCTATAGCATTCCCTCATTAAGTCTGAATTTGAGTACGAAACACAAGCATACGGAACAGAAGACCACCGCACCCACCGACACCTCGACTGGTACATCCCTTTATGAAAGTCATTGTATCGTTAAAAGTTTCGGTTTAACAAACTCCTCTCTCTGGCGAAACTCCACCGACTCCTCTGGTTTATCTTCCACCAGTTCCAAAGCTATCGTCTTTGTTTCTATGTGTACGTGCTGCGAATTAGTGTTTAGTCGAGAGAGCTCTTGGAGGCATTGTTGAGCGGCGCCGCGGGTGCAGGGCCCTCGGGGGTGACATATGCCTTGGTCATGCCGCCATCAATGACGAAGTCCTACGTGGGCGAAATCAGCAGCCTGTCCAGACACTCAAAACAATCCTATCAGAACTTACGTGTCCGTTGACGAAGCTGCTCTCGTCGCTCGCCAGGAACAGCACGCCCTGTGCCTGTTCGATGGCCTCGCCGAAACGGCCGGTCGGGAAGTGGATCTCGCGGCGGAGTCTCTTGGGCTGATCGTCACCCAGCCAGTCCTGGAGGAGGGGAGTGTTGAGGGGCGCGGGGCATAGGCTGTTGAAGCGGAAGCCCTCGCGGGCGTGGACGATGGCCAGCTCGCGGGTCAGGGCCAGTACGGCGCCTTTGCTGGCGGTATATGCCAGCTGCGGGGTGGCGGAGCCGACGAGGGCGACGACGGAGGCCGTGTTGATGATGGAGCCCTTGGTCTTCTTGTGGCGCCGCAGCGACAGCACTGCGTGCTTGCTGCCGTACCAAACACCCTTCACGTTGATGTTCTGCGTCAGGTCCCAGATCTCCTCGGGCGTGTTGATGGCGTCGTCGTCGCGCGCGTGCATGATGCCGGCGTTGTTGAACATTACGTCCACACCGCCCCAGCTGTCAACAGCCTCGACGAGGGCTTGTACCTGGGCTTCCTTGGAAACATCGCAGACCTGATTCGTAATGTATGAGCATATCTGGCTTCTCATGGTGCGTATTGTATTTGAGACTTGGCCTCCCTTCGGCCACGTACCTGAGTCTCGATCCTCTGCGCATTGGGCACAAGCTGCTTGACCTTGGCCAACGCCTTCTCCAGGGCGGGAGCTGAGATGTCGGCCATCAGGACATTGGCGCCCTCCTTGGCAAAGAGAATGGTGGTCTCAAGACCAATGCCACTGTCGAAAGAGTGATCGTCAGGAAGGAAGTTCAAGCGGTCCGACTGCGATATCACATGGAGGGGCAGACGAGGGGATGGGCTACTCACCCGGCACCGCCGGTGATGACGGCATTCTTGCCGGCGAGGCGGCCATGTGCAGGTGCAATCGAACCCATTATCGATGATCAAGAGAGTCGGTAGTAAGTAAAAAGGCTGGAGGATAATTGTCGCGTGGTCCTTTTCCCACTTCTCGAGAGGTTGTGTCCGTAGGTTTGGTGGGGCAGGTTGCTGATAAGGGGTAGATAAGCACAGAAAGTTCGTGACGTTGCTCTGGATAAGACCAAGAAGGAGACGAAGACACAAAAAGTCGGGGTATAGGAGTCGCGAATGGTGTAGCAAGTGTCTAGAGAAGCCCTAGAGCAGCAAATGGGTGTTTTGAAAGGGCGAAATTGTGTGGTGAGTCAAGGAAACGGCTGTCTGGAGGGCAATGGGCACTGGGTGGTGTTGGACCCTGAATCGAGGTCCCGCCATTTCCACTTCCGAGAACGGCGATTCCACTGACCGCAACCTTTAGATCATACACCAACATAAAAAGCACAAAGGCCACAAACCTACCTTGCCCTTACCTGCCGAGGTGGCCACCGCCAATCGATCCCATGGATGGCGGTTGGATCTGCCAATGACCAACCTACCGCTATCATCTTATTGCTAATATCTAGCACATCCATCCTGTTGATAACCAATGGCTCATCCATGGATGCCGTGACGTGCATCATAACGCATCGCATCGCATCGCATCATGACCCTTTCCATTGGATTATCGTCGCATTCGCCGGCGGGATACTCCCAGTGCCCAGTGCTTTGTCAGGGCTGTTTGTAGGTGCTGATTTGGCCACTCAGATATATCGAGATCCCGGCCCCAATTGGCAGATTAGCAAATAACCATACGTAGGTACTGTAGGTCAGTGTGTGTATGGAGATAGATAGACAGATAGGTAGAGCTAGCTACCCATGTCGGTCCGGGAGGATCAGTTGAGGTGCTCTTGGTGCTTTGGGGCTACCCAAGACTAAGGTAGCTCGATACATCCCGAGGCACGCGGCCTCCCCGCCAGCGGGCTAGTACTGGTCCTGGGAAGGTGTTCGAAATCCCGTCGTATCGACTGGAGCTCATGTGGATCGCTGGAGCGCGCGTCCATGTAGCCATCCGAGTCAAGACAGACGGACAGACCCCGGGGACTCTTCTGCCAATCCAGCGAGTTTCGATTATGTCAATCTTAGCCCATGGATCGCCACCCACCAGTGTCGGTGTCACTGTCGCCTATGGTCACGGGCACAGATCACGAACGGCTGCTCAATTGTCCATAGGCCGCCTCTGAGGCCGAGATGCGTGAGCCATGCCATGGGGTCTGGCGGCTATCTTTGAGTGAGCATGGCAGCGCGGCATTGGAGCAGCTCGCACCTGAGTGGAGGGGAAGGTTGATGCGACCAGGCCATCATCGTCATCGAGGGGCCGCGGCCACCGGACACCCGAGATGCGAGATGTCAAAACCGGCGGGCCACCTGAAGTCAAGCAATCAATCAATCCATTGGACAGCCGATTTGCCTACTCTAGCATCGATATTCAAGACAATAGCTGCGTTGGGTGTTGATAGATAGTCTAGGTAGTCAATTGGAGCTGCTCGCGATGATGCAAAGCGGCCTGCAAGTCGGATATTCCGCTTCCAGCGCATCGCGAGTGTGAATGGCCGTTGGGGGCTCCTTCCATGATGGAATCGATGCTGCT